ATTTGCTTTTCATGACCCAACATGTTGTTTCCATCCTGCGGCCCTCCGCTCTCCGCCTCCAACTCTCTGAAGCCGCGTCCACACTAATACGGAAACGATCTCCGTCCACACGGGCGTTTTACTAATTATTTATTTCCGTCCAGACTAACACGCCTGAAAACGAATATCACGTGACTGGGCATGCAGGTGACAACGGGTGTAAACAGGAAGTAGAAAATTCGACTCTACTGAGTATTATAGTAGTCTTTAATAATATAAGAGGGCTTGATTGATCTTCCTCTTCCGCTCCGTAGGGCTGATAACGCCGCTGGACACGCCCGCTCGTTAATCGCTCCAATAACAGCTGCTTCCTTCCAGAAGACCTTGACCTCAACCCTTCACCCACTGGATCAAGTCTTCTCCTTTCTATTGACACGACAGCACTGCTTGCTGCTGAAATAACTGTGTAAAGAATGGACGCGCTGACGAGATGAGGAAATATGTTACGCTTGTAAATTGTGTACAAGTCGCCCTAATGACAGGAGAAGTAGCCCACTAAGTGCCGATAGAGGCTTTATAGTTCACCACAAATCTCCAAGCAGCAGATGCCATAATGGAGGTCTCAGTAAATGAGGCTGTTTGCAAATGAAAGCCTGAATACCTCACAATGAGGCCAAATAAAGAAAAGGTACTTAAACCTGACAATTTAAGCTGCTCTCTTCAGACGAGCCACCAGTAGAATAAAGCACATCATTGCACTTCAGGATTCCTTGTCTCGAAGGTTTGTGGTTAATACAATCCGAAGAGATTTTAAAGTTTAATTCTACAATATAAAATAGGTCAGCAAATACCCCTCTAGAGAATTTAGAAGCTTTTACGTGTCTTAAAAAAAGAGTGTAAATGAGACAACTAAGCGTGGCCAGCTGCAGCGCTGGGTACAGCGTTCCCTCCGCCTCATTCCCGGTCTCTAGTTAGCTAGTTGGCTAGCTTGCTAATTCCACCATGCTTTTGTGGTTACAGAAGATTAGCTGAACAGTGGGCCGGTGGTCCAACGGTCCCTCCGCCTCGCTCCTCGTCTCTCTGGAGAAGCACAAGCTAACAAGCTAACTAGCTAACTAGCCGGCCCCTCCGTCTCCGGCTAGGTGTTTACGACATTGTATGGCCCTACTGACCGTGTGTTGTCACCGTGACAGCTAACCTCAATGGATGTTCTCTTTTGTACTCGTCAAATGACCACGATCAACAGTCAAAAGACATTCAGTTTACAGCGATCTAAAAACAGAGAAAAGCAGCAAAATCCGCACACTGAAGCTGGGAACCAGTTTTGTCAATTATGCCTGAGAGACTTTCATTTACCAGATTGTTCAACCTTTTGATGATTGATTAAACAAAAAGACAATTAATTCCTTTGTTGTCCAATCAGACAAAGCCCAGTTTTAAGCCTGGGTGTATATTTATAACCTGGACATCACCAGAGGCTGTGACTCTCCTCCTCTGGAGTCTCGTAGCTCAATCGAGCAGCGTCACGGATGGTAAGAATGCTAAATGATAAGAAAACTGGAACACAAAAGCGGCCCCAAACAATAAACTGTGAAAGCACAGTGTGTGTGTGTGTGTGTGTGTGTGTGTGTGTGTGTGTGTGTTGATAAGGTTCCCTGTGGTTGAGTCATAGAGGGATAAACAGCAGCAGCATATGGATTGTGTGCAGTTCTGTCTACGGGGATGAGAGCTTATAGCTGCGTCTTCACTCTTATCCTCTCTCTCCATTTCCATCTCCTCCCAAATGATAATCGCATATTAGATTAACTTTGCATAATTGATCAGATCCTCCTTTTCTTTACAGCTTCTACAAATCCGACCAATTCAACTGGTGGTATTTCTTGTTTTAGCAGCGACAGCAGCAGCAGAGAGCTGTAAAAATGTCTTGAAAGACGTAGAGAGGCTATAAATCGTAGCAACTAGAGGTGGAGAGAAAAATCAATAGAGATATTTAAGCAGTATTGTATCTGTACATGGACACAAATGATCTATATGTTATTATATAAACTATTATTATTGTAAATGCAAATGAAACATTTTGCTTTCTCAGTCTACTGGAAAAATGTATTAAGCGTGATGAACCAAGTGAAAACTTTATCTTAGTAATAAATAAAACAAAAAAGGTAACAAATAGCAATTTTTCACTAAAAATGTTTAAAATCGCATAACGTATCGTGAATTTAAGTTACTAAGTAATTGAGGAAGTTTAAACTGCTTGTGAAACAGTCTCAGTCTAATAAGTAAACGAGTCCATTAGAGAGAAGATTGGCTGTTTTTATAGAGGTATTCATCTGTGCCGCCGGTTCGGATTCGGCGCAAAAATCAAGTTCATCGGTCCCCGCTGGGAGCCAGACTCAGGACGTCTTGCTGGACCCGCTGGAGGGAAGGGAGGCACGGGAGAACCAGAACCAGGACTGAGAGGGGCAGAATGTCAGACCCTGCTGCAGTAACATGAGAGGTTTTCTAAAGGGAGTCTGGTGCTCAGACACACTACCACGTTAGTCCACAGGGGGCGACAGAATCAACACAAAATGGAAGTTCCTCGTAGTAACTTTTAAGTATCAGGGCCTCTGGTGATTCCCATTACATATTTGAAGGCCGACCAGTGCAGCAGAGCTCAATTCATCAAACGCTGATTCAGTTAAAAGTCATCGAGTCAACAGTCCGTCTGAGAGTCTGGTTTCTGTTTCTGCATCCGGTGATGACATCAACACAGAGAAAATGAATGAATGAATGAAGGGATGCTTGTGGTGATCTTGTGACCCCTGAGAGCGTCACGCACAAACACACACACACACACACACACACACACACACACACACACACTGAGCTGCTATACCTGTCGGAGTGTCTTGAGCATCTCCGTGGCCTCGTCCTGCTTGCCCTGCTTGGCCATCAGCATCATCTCCTGGATCATGCCAATGCGCCGCTGGTAAGGCGGCGGCGTCGACCCGCCGCGGCTCAGCCGGTCCCCCGACTTCAGCATGAGGGAGGCCAAGATGTCGCCGCCGCCACCGCGCTCCTTGGTGGGCGTTCGCCTCCAGCCGTGCTGGGGGCTGGACCCTCCGGGCTCCTGGCCCTTGGTCTGCTTGGCACCCATTGGGTGCTGCAGTAAACTTTAACTGTGAAGAGAAACTCAAGCAGTCACGCACATCCGGGTCTGATCAGTGTTTGGGATACTTTGCTCATCTGAGTGTCTGCAGCTGGGAGCAAAACAAATCCAAACTGCACGACAAGAATGTTCATCATCCCCCAGTCACAGAAGAGTAAATGGCTCCAAAGTACACAAGGGACAGTTTTTGGGTGAAGTTGGGTAATCCTGGAGGGTGCAGCTCAGGTCGGAGGATGCTGCGTGCAGCATGGCCGCAATAAGAAAAAACCACGGACACAGCAAAGTCAGGAGGACGCAGGACTCCTCTCCTGCGTGCAGAGTCTGCAGACCTCCTATCCCGAGAACAACTTCACCACCATCTCCAAAAAATATATATTTACCTCCAAACAACCGCGTTACCTCCTCTGCTGTTATCCTCTAAAGCCCAACGGAGGAGGAAACGCATCCGAGGAGGTGGTGCATGAAGCAGGGCATGGCAATGTTTACGTCTCCTGCAAGATCACCGCTGTCTCCTCTCCTCCCTCCTCCCTCCTCCTCCCTGCACGCGCTGCCCTGTCCTTCCTCGCGCACACACTGAAACAAAAACACATTCGTCCTTCTCCAAGGTGGATCCTCCCTCCGCTCCCGGAGCAGGACGCAGACGCATCGGCCGTCTCCGAGGTGCTCCCTCGGTCCTTTTTTTTTTGCTGGGACTGAATTGTACGTTTCACCCTCCTGTTCAACTGAATGGTGGGCGCGCGCAGCGAGTGCACGTGATGGAAGGGAAGGGCGGGGAGAGGAGCGCGAGCGCCGACAAAAAGTTTACGGTCGTTTCGCTCTCTAAACAGGCCACGTGCCAATTTACATTAAGTAAGGCGTCGTTTGAATGTTTGCTCATTTTCCGCATTATATTTGTTGTTTTAGTGAAATCTTTGCACTATTAGTCAATTTAATATTATATTTCATGGTATATATTGTGCATTTTATATTTAATGTTTTACTTTGCGGGATTAATAAAGTATCTATATATTGTCGAGATGATTTGTACTGTTTACGATCTTGTCGTCTTAGTAAAATCAGCATATAGTTTATTGTACAATTATCAATTAAAAGAACATCTACAATATAAATTAGGCTAATTGATTAATGCTAGCTAGCATATTGAGGCAGAAGTAGGTCACATAATCTCTACAGATTTTCTTTTATCATTATTGTCTTTACTATATTTTGATGTTATTTTCCTGCTTTCTTTAATGGAATTGGTGCGATTGATTGTACTTAATGTTTATTGTACTTTTTTTTTTTTTTTAAATGCTTCTTAAGATCCGTTACATTGTCAACGCAATGCATTGAAATTAAATAAAGATTTTAAAAGTTTAAATTTATAAATGGCCTCGAGTCTTTTAAGCAGTTATTTTTTCCTATTGAGTAAAGAACAAAGAAGGAACTTTGTCACTTACCTGTTCATTTAAAATGCTTTTGTGAATTTTTAATATGTAATAAGATAGATTATTATGTGAAGCACTTTCACCAGACTGAGTCAACATTTAGAGAGAAATCATTTTAAAACTGAGACAAAACTTTTCATATTTATTCAATGCAGTAAATGTGATCACATGCTTCATACACTAGAGGTCAATGTGTAGACAAGGAGAGGGTTACACTGCCCCCTGCTGGTGGCTGTTCAGAGTATATAAACTTATTTATATTTATATTTGTAGTAGTACAGTACAGTACATGAAGAGGATATACTGTGTTTCTGCTTATGAGTGTTCAACAAAAAGTCAAATTAAAGCTCATTCAACAGATAAAAACACATTTTCCACACTTATATTGACCTCACAGGAGCATGTTTGAGACCGAATATAAATAGACAAGAAACTTCAAGATGTACTTTTCAAAAAAGGTTTATTATTTGTTTGTTTTGCCTTTAATTACATTTCTATTTACAGTAGCATTTCAACCACCAGTTGCTTCAAATCACTTATCGAAACAAAAACGATGTTTAGTTTCTTTCCTCTCGTTAACCGGAGAGACGTCAACAGATTAAAAAGCAACGACATCCAGGACGAACCCCTCCGTCTGCTTTAAAACACAAACCTCTTAACTTCGGCTTGCTTTAATGACTTCATGGTTGCTGCATTTGTTATTAACTAAGAGCTGAATCTCACCTTCTTTACGGCAAACGAAAGATTCTTTTCTTTGTCAACATTTACAGTTCACTGCTTATAAAAGGAAAGCCCCCCCCCCCCCCCCATCCTTGAGTTGTTAGTTTGATCTTTTACAGCATTGAGTCACAGAAGATGGAATTATGGATGATCTAAACACTATAAATTATAATTACATAATCACTCCCTTTACTGGTTTTATACGTTGCATTGAGTCAGTGTGAGGTGAAGATGTGACGTGTTTTAAGGCTTTGTTTATACTCTGTATTGTTCTTTGTTTTATTCTCTAAAACCCCAGAAGACGAACAAACAAAAGGAACCGTGAAGAAGCAAGAAGACGACGAGTGTAACCGACAAAACGCCACAAACTGTAATCTGTAAAGAATTAAATGCATCATAAAGAAACTAAAAGGTTGAACATCCTGTAGAATATTTACTCAGATGTAGATTTTTAACACCTTTTGTTCCTAAAGCGTCTAAAAACCAAGTTGTCTCTTTGTGTGATCACTAAACATGTAATCAGCGTTTTTATCAGAGAACTAAAAGTACAACTATAAAGTATGTACTGTACCTGAGAAAGGAGCTGATGAGGGAGACAGACCTCCTCACACAGACTGTAGAAGTTATAACTGCTGCCAGAGATCCACTAAACCACACGAAGGTAAATATATAAAATATATTACGTTTTAAATCAGACATTTGGTTTAATTCTGACGAGTCTTTTCTGTTGATGTGACGGATTCCATCCAGTGTGCTTCAATGTTGTAAATAAACATAACTTGCACACAATAAGCAGCTCATAAGTCAACCTGACGCAACTAAACCGTGATGGACGTATGATGAGAAACATAAACCGGGTCGGGATGAAAGCTACGAGTCGTGCGTTTGTATAAATTCAAACGAGAACATCTCGGAGGAGAAAGTAACATGTTAGACTGGAAGTATCCAACTGGAGGTGGAAGCTCGGTTGCAGTTGCTCTTTTCATGAACCCAGCAGGAAAGATTCCCTCGATAATAAAAAACAAAATATCTCCCTCCCTCCCCCCTCCTTTCCTCCCTCTCTCTCTTCTCTGCGTCGTGTCTCTTGAACTGTCGATAATGTCTCCACCTCATGTCAGTTAATCGATGACGTCTCTCTGCTGGATGATCTATTAAACGCTATATTTTCCCTCTGCAGCACCTGACAAGCTGTTCCAGACGAGGAGGCGGGGCCCCCTGCAGGTGGGAGGCGACTACTCGCAGTTAGAATGTGTAGCCAGCGGGGGGCGCTTTGTCGTCTTTGTTGCTCTCCAGGGAGAAGGGAGGGATGCGGACGTCGAAGTGGGAGCCGTCGGTCCTCTCGATGCGAAACGTCCCCCTAAAAACAACAGAAGAAGAAGAGAGGACGGAGATGTTTGAGCCTCTGGAGGAAGAAGCGTGAGGAGAAGACGTAGCAGTGACGTAGTAGTGACGTTAGTAGAGAGGTTAGTGACGGTAGACTCACCACATGTGACCGCTGGGGGCTTGTAGAGACACATGGCTGCTGTACTGGAAGGCCGGCTGCTCTTTAGACAACACCGGCTCCTGAGAGCGAAACACAAGATCAGTCTGAGTTCACACGCAGCGTTTAGATAGACTTTAAACACAGAAATAATCAATGATAAAAAGATAAAGGAAAAATAAAAAGAAATTAAATAAATGATAATCAAAAAAAATAATCAAAAAAAAATCAAAAAAATACCTTAAAGTTATCGATACAGATACCCGGCCCTGTAGCTAGCGGCGCAGCTAACAACCTTTTAACAGTAACTTATGTGTTCCCATACATTTGTGATAATTAAAGTGTGTGTGTGCGCGCTAACCCGGCCTACGACTCCTCGTCCTCGGACCGTCTCCAGGGTTCCTGACAGGCTGAAGATCCTCCAGTGTCTCTCTCTCAGCTGGACCACCTCGCTGCCCATGTTCTCCAGACGGATGCAGTAGCGCCACTGCAGGAAGACGACAGACATGTCGGTACTAGAGGTGTAATAACACCTGTAATAACACGTGTACGCCAACTGAAACGTTCAGTACATTATGCCCTGTGACCTCATTTTTTTTTTAATATTCATTTATACATACATACATACATGCATACATACATATGACCCCACTGGATACAGATTTAAAACATTAGTTTGTTGCTTCAGCACCGGAGTTCACATGTGCTCAGTTTAAATGAGTACAAGCTGCAGCCCAGACAGTCTAATAATTAACATTTACAGACTTATTTATTAGTCTCGTTTTTTTCAAAGTAAAACATTTTTTGGATTTTTTTTGTTGTTTTCCCAAAAACTGAGGTACGTACCGTACCACAAGTTAATTGTAATATTGTATATATTTAATTTGCAATGTTTTCTTAATATTAATACTAAAGCCATTAAAGCCTTTAAATAGATTCTGCTGACACAGACATGTTTAAAGCTCCCAACTGGTGTTCATTCCCACAGTGACAGATAATAAAAACAACTACTCACCCAGTAGACATGGGAGTTCTGGGCCTCCTGAGAACAACAAAGACTTTCTATTAGCATCTACAGAACAAAAAACGGCTACAAGAAGCCAACAGGAAACGGGGTTTTTTGATCATCAGAGCCAAAATGGCCCCCATGCGACGCGGTAAGTTACTCTGGTGATTTACCCTCATGCCCATGTAGAAGGGGATGACGGTGACCCGGATGTTCTCTGTGGTCTCCCTGTGGACGTCCGAGAGCTCCAGCCAGGGGTGGTTCTTCTCCTGCCACGCCTTCAGGGTGTCTCTGGCTGTGAACGGAGGAGCTGCAGGACGACGACGGAGCAAAGAAATGGACACGGAGAACACAGTTCTTCAACAACGCAAACCGTTAATGTCAACGATTCGGTGACTTGTAGATCAGGGAAAAACATTCTCTTATGAATATAATGGGTGATGATATCTTTTAAAAGACATAAATCACGGTTAAGAAGCTACTCCATCTATGGTGTCTTGTTTGCTGCATGGTTGTCCTGTGACACGTTGTGTGCGAGAGCTGGTTTGTTTTGAGTGCGTCAGAGTCGTGTCACTCACTTGAAGCGTTAAATGTCAGAAGCAATTAACATAGCAGCCTTATATCTCTTAAATCGACAGTGTGGGAGCATTTCGGATATAGAAAATGACCAAAGAGTCGTGTGAACCGTGGAGTAATTACACAGATTAACCATCATAGAGTGAAATAAAGTTTTAGTGCTGCTCGTTAACGGCCTAGAGTAAATTAATAATAATTAAAGCTGCGAGCGGAGATGAACACGCACTCTCATCCTGCTGCACGTCGGGGGTGCCGGCGCGACTCTGGCTCGGACGTCTGAGAGAGTCCCAAGAGACTTTTCTTTAAGCCTCCATGTGCAAACAAACTTTCATACATGTAGGAGGAACGTAGCGATGGGGCAGCTCATTGTAAAATGTGTAGGGGGCGCTGTGGCCCAAATAAAATATGTGTTCCCATCACCTATGACACATGAGCATCCTAAGCCACAGAAAAACAAGCTTCCTTTGATGACATGAACAAAGTAAAAGTAAATAGTTTGATGATAATATTTTGCTTCATTAGCTAGATTAGAAATATTCCGGTTAATCGTGATATCAGTATTTCATAAGGCATTAAAGGTTTGTGTGAGGAACGATGTTTACATTTGGCCGGGTTGAACATGAGGAAGCGCTCAAACAGCTCGTGCTGGATTGGGATCTGCTCTGCAGAGTTGTAGGGCAGGATGTCTTCGTGGCTCACGTAGTCCAGACCTGAAGGAGCGAAAACGGACACACACGGGGATGAAGCCGACTGTAAAACACATGAAAAGGGAAAGTTTCATATTCTATAAAAGACGGGAATCTGAATGTTTTATACTTGAGTAGAATTAAAAACGGTAGAATGATAATGTCCCGATTCAAAGCCGTTAGACGCGTGACACACGTGACAGTACTGTGCGGTCAACATGCCGGTGGTCTGGCGTCTCTTTACCAGTCTGCATACCTGGGATAGCGTACAGGGCTCTGCTGTCGTCGTGGTTGGCCAGAAACGTCACTGCCTCCGTCTGGGACCTCTGAGACTGTCAAACACAACAAAAGAAAAGTCACACAGCGACTCGACACACGTCCGATACGAGGGTCCTGGGACATACCAGAGATACGAGGGTCCTGGGACATACCAGAGATACGAGGGTCCTGGGACATACCAGAGATACGAGGGTCCTGGGACATACTAGAGATACGAGGGTCCTGGGACATAATAGAGATACGAGGGTCCTGGGACATAATAGAGATACGAGGGTCCTGGGACATAATAGAGATACGAGGGTCCTGGGACATAGTAGAGATACGAGGGTAGCAGCTTTAAAGGTAGCAGCTGGTCCTAAAGGAAGAACATGCTGCTGTAGCGACTTACTATGTGAGGGCAGTCCCTGGTGTCGATCAGGACTTGGTAGTAGGTGTGAGTCTTCCCCTTCACCTCCTTGGAGCCGTGGGCTCCCGGAGGATCAGGTTTGCTGAAGCAAGACGGTGACAGAGACAAAAATAAATCTTTGTTTTTAACCACAAAACAAAGTCCTTCAGCCGGAGGTTTACCTCTCGGTCAAGGGAGGCGTGATGTCTCTGTCGTAGAGTCGGGCGTGCCAAGGAAACAACACGATGCCTCTGTAGCCAAACACGCTGTGAAGAAACAGCTGGGGGGGGGGCAAACAACAAGCAGTGAGATTATATCAGCAGGAGGTTTAATAAAGCAGAAAATTTGATTACATTCACTTGACAGGATCGAGCAAATGTGCCATCATAACAAAACAAAAAGATACTTGAAAACAGTATTAAAGACTCTAATATAGACTCGTGTGATATAGTGCCGTAGATGGTTTGGCCTCTTGGAGGTGTTTGGTGACAGAGAGACTCACCTGTCCAGTTTCATATTTTCCGTGCTGCTTCACAGCCTCAAACATTCCCACCGTCTCCAAAATCTTCCCTTCGGGCCTGCTCCTGCCAAACACAGGCAACACCATGACACACTGGACGCTGTGCACGTGTGAGAGAAACCAACTTCAAAAGAAAAGCACCACAGACTGTAAATAAGAAGTGGACGTAGTCGTTGTGACATCGTTCATTGGTTTGTGGACTGATGTTCTGAAGCCTTGAGTTTGTCGTTTTGGTCGTCGCTATCTTGGCTTTTTGCAACCAGTAAACAGGAAGTGACCATATTTGGACTGAGGAGGAGTGACGTAGAGACG